GGTGCTGCTCGACGAATCTTCTAACTCCAGGTACAACCTCTGTCTCATCCCTGTCTACTAGCCCTTTTATAGGAAAGTCATCCAGAAAAATTCAACCTTATCAGGGATGAAGTCCTTGAGGACGGCTACCATGGCTCTCTGAAAAACGGCTACCCCATTATTCCAACCCATAGGGACAACCATCATTTGTATTAGTCCCAATGGCGTATGCATAGCCGTGAGGTGCCTGTCTCTAGGGTCAAGTGGTACCTCATCATAGCCTGAGAACAGATCACAGACGGAATAAATCGACCTACCTGCGGCGCCTTCTGCCAGTAAATCGGCGTGTGGCACGGAGCCCACGTCTCGTATCGTCACCGCGTTGACCTTCTGAAGGTCCTGGATCCATCGGATCTTGCCATTCGGCTTTCGTAGGAAGAACCATCGATTAGCATAAGCGCTACCAGACGGCTCCGCAACATGGGAAACCATCTTTTCTTTCAGGAAAGTGATAACTTCTTCCTTCTCCTTCTGGGCATATTTCCATTCCGCGTCATTCCAGGGAACATGTGGTATCGTGTAAATCCTTGCTGGCTTAGCGTATCAAGGGTCAATCCTACCGCGCTCCGCTTCACTAAAAGCTATGGCCTTATCACATGTCTTCAGGATTTCTATTACACGTTCTCGCTCCTGTGGGGTCAAATTCCCATCTCCGATGTCCATCCCTGCTATCCTCTCTTCCGTTAGGCGTTGCGGCTCCTTTGTCTTTCTTTCTTTGATTTCTTTCGCGATCTCTTCTTCCGATATCCCTTCCAGTGCAGATCGCTCGCGGCCCACCGCGGCTGGCTTCACTTTTCGAGCTACTCGCTTGTGTCGCTTGGGTAGCCCCCCATAGGGGGCCGTGCCCTTAAAAAAAACACGGATACCACACCGCCAAATTCCTCATCTTTTTCCTTCGGGTACGAGTTGCCGTCCACTATTAGCCGACTCCCTAAATCTTCCACCTCCACGATCCGACCTTCTTCCTCTGTGAGCAGTGGTCCATATCTCTTCTCGCGAAATCGCACCGCGCGGCCGGAGATAGGTAACGACTTGATCTGATCACTGGGTCTTGCACCCACAGCGAGAGCTGCTCTGTTCCTCTGGTCCCGAGGCTCCACTGTTTCAATCATCACCCGCGTCCCGTCTGGCTTCCTAATGGACAATGTTTGGCTCTCATTAGGTCGCTCTATCGTCACCGCATGCACGTGGCTCAGCCACGTTCGACCCAAGAGCAAGTCGGAGCTACAGTTCTTGACTGCAAAGACAGGCAGGGTCACTCTTACCCCTTGGACCTCTATGGCTGCCTTGTGACAAACCCCAGTGATCTGTTGCTTTCTCCCATCAGCCGTCTCTATCTCGAATAGGTATGACCTATCGAGGCCCAGTCCAACTTGTACTGCCAGGTCCTCGTCTATGATGACAGCCTCACTGCCATTATCAATCACAGCATCGAGTATCGCTCCATCGTTTAAAATTGTCTCCACGGCCCCGCTACCAAGTATATAAAACTTGTCTGGAGGCACACCTTCCATCCCATCGAGAAGGATTGTCGCCATGCGATCCGCTCTGGCAGTCACCCCCGTTACCGCTACTGTAGAAGCTTCCGCTTTAGGGGCCCCCTGACCCTCCTCCGATAGAGGTATGCGAGT